CACACACCTGTTATCTTACGGCTATAGTAACACAACTCAAAACTAAACCCATCTTGTTTTTAAACATGCCAGCTCTTGTCTCAAAACCACAACAATTAAGGGCAGCATTTTATACAGAAAATCAACCCTTTCTGTCTCTGGCCCATAACGGAATCAACCCTTTCTGTTTCTGGTCCAAGACGGAAATTTCCCACAGTCCTAATCGCAAAGCCTTGATTTAAATGTTTGTGGCATTATCTGTGAAGAGATATATTTTACCCTGCCAACAAGCAGGAATGACTCCTTTGTGTGGGAAGCCATGAACATCCTAATGATAAAAAGATAAATAACAGAAGTCGGCTCGAGTTGCATTTTAATAATGAGGATTCTCCACACATTTCTCCGGCAATCTTTCCTCTGGCTTCCCCCACTCCGCGGAAGTAAAGTTAGAGAGATGTATAAGGCCATATAAACATTAATAGTTACCCTATTGTGTTTTAGAAAGACTATTTATAGAGAAAATACAAAATGTCTCCCTGAAGTATACTTAGACGTAAGCTACCATAATCTTCCTGCTCATGCAGCAGGAAATCTAATATACCAGCACAATAAACCTGTAGGAAACAAAGGTTTTATGCAGCATTAAGGGGGACAGCATTAAAATACCGCAAAGTTATTTTTAAGAGCTGAGAAAATTGAGGGCCATTTTTTAACAGAATGATAATATCGTAATAGGTTAAACAGGTTGCAGGAGTTTCAGGTTCCTCCTGACAATGTTACTTTTTGATTCCATTTCAGCCCAGGGTTCTGCTGGGATCAGTGACATAACATTTCCAGAAAGATCTGAGACTGCAGCCTAGAGGTAAAAACATAGCACTCCACAGCTATAATAACCCCCCTCTAAAAACGAAGACATCCTCCTTCTACTCACTCAAGCATAAAAGGCGTTTTGATGGCTTGTCAGGAGAGTCCCCAAAAAGGGAACCATCTCGGGTACAAGTAGTGCTTTTTTTTTGGTTTGTAAAAAACAGCAACCCCAAAAAGAGGTACTCATATTTTGAGAAAAGGGCCGTGGGTGTCAGCACAAAATGGCTGCCATGGGGAAAATAAAAAGGACATGCCAGCACACGGCTGGACTGAGACTGAGTGCTTGTGCTCTAGTTACCGACCCTCCTGTTTCATTGCTTATACAGTGGTACCTCTGGTTATGAACTTAATTCGTTCTGGAGGTCTGTTCTTAACCTGAAACTGTTCTTAACCTGAAGCACCACTTTAGCTAATGGGGACTCCTGCTGCTGCTGCTGCTGCGCCGCCACCACCGCACGATTTCGGTTCTCATTCTGAGCAAAGTTCTTAACCTGAGGTACTACTTCCGGGTTAGCGGAGTCTGTAACCCAAAGTGTTTGTAACCCGAGGTGTTTGTAACCCGAGGTACCACTGTATGCACAAGCCAACCCTTTGATCAGGCCCCACACATCTAAAATACACCACACTGCCAGTGGTGCAGTTAGATTGCAGACTCAATAGTTTCAGTATGTGTGGTTCTTTACATACCCTCCAACATTTCTCTGATGGAAATAGGGACGTCCCGTTCCATAATGATAATTATATTATTTATACCCCACACATCTTACTGGTTTTGCCCCAGTCACTCTGGGCAGTTTCTAACATATATAAAAACATAATACAACATTAAACATTAAGAAAACTTTTCTGTACGGGATTGCCTTCAAACAGCTCAAGAGTCAAATAACTCCATAACCTCCAACATTTCTCCAATGAAAATAGGGACATCCTAGGGAAAAGCTGGACATTCTGGGATCAAATCAGAAACTGGGGTGCCTTTCTAAATCAAGGATGTCCCTGGAAAATAGGGGCACTTGGACGGTCTGTCTTTAGATGGTAATGTGTAACTAGGCAGAGGGCCTTCTCAGCAGTGGCACCTGCCCCATGGAACGCCCTCCCATCAGATGTCAAGGAAATAAACAACTATCTGACTTTTAGAAGACATCTGAAGGCAACCCTGTATTAGGGAAATTTTAATGTCTAATGTTTTACAAGTTTTTATGTGCTACATGGATTCTGAGTAGAGCCCGGGACTTCTACCCCAAAGTCAACTGTACTTTACACATGCTGAGAGGTACATGATATGTTTCAGGAGCACATTCTGACACTGGGGAAAAATAGATCCCAGGAGCTAACCCTTCTTCAACCCAGGTCTGGAATTCTGTTCTGTCCCACCTCATATGTCCTAAGCTTCACATCACCCCTTATATCATTCCAACTGCCCCTCTACGCATTGCTAATGAAATGCACTTTCTACAAATATGCAATATTGTAACAAGCATTCTACAAAAGAGGCAACAGTATGAAACATCCCCAATATATTTTGAGATGATGATAATAATAATAATAATAATAATAATAATAATAATTTAATTATTTGTTTCCCGCCCATCTGACTGGGTTACCCCAGCCACTTTGGGCAACTTCCAACATATATAAAAACAATTGGTTGTTTTGTTTTTGAGGGTGTGTGTATGTATGTTGTGCCTTAGGAATGTTACAGGAGTTGTTGTGGTTCACTCAGATTATCCCCAGCCATGAATATAAACTTACACGTAACAGGATTCGATTAACTGGTGACCCACATTAATTAGCATAGTTTAACCGGATATATATATATATATATATATATATATATATAGTGTTCCAAAGAGATTGGAAGTTCAAAAACACATTCATTACTTCGTGGTTTTGCAACAAGATGCTCTCAACTCCTAGGAGCGAGCTTTGCTTTGCATCTATTCCATATCTGAACATTCATCCTTGCAGTCTTTGTGGAGCAAATGTATTCTTTCGGAAAAATCCCCCGTTCTTATAATTTGAGGAGAGTTCTGCATTTATAAACAGGCAGCCGCAGGAAAACACAGAGCAGCCTAAGAGCAATTTCTTTTGTTGTTTGTCATTATGGGGAGAAAGGGAGAGGGGGTGTAGGCGAGCAATTGTCATGCAAGCACAGTTGTAAGTAATAATGTGGCCTTTAATGACGGAATGATGGACCTGCCAAACACTAGCTCCTGCCATACACTGCTTGCCTCTCCCTGCTGGAGAGCACAAAGATGCCCATCTGGGAGTTATTAACATATCCTCGTCAACTCACAACCGACTTTAACATAATCCATATTTGTTGGAGAGGGTCCAACATCAGCTAGAGAACAGCCGTCACGTGACTCAATGACACATTTCAAGCAGCACACATAAAGCATGCTTGGGCAGCTAAGCAGTTCCAAAATGCAAATGGATAAAAAACACTCTTCCGACTAGATAAAAAGAACAAATCCCTTTTGGCAAGGAATCTTAGATACTCTTAACATTGAGTGGAAACATCAGGCTAGGGAGAATGGACAGATACCCACTTATTTGGGGTGGCGGTTGTTTTTGCTATTTCCACCCCCCTTCCTCCCCCTTTCCTTCTTCTTTTTAAGCATGCACTGCCAGAGTGAAAATGAGCCTTAAACATATTCACTTTAAGCTGGCAAGTGCTGCCACACGAAAGATCTGCGCACGAGAAATACAAATTTCTCTTAACTCAGCAGTGTCCCAGCCTTCCTTGTGTAAGCCATGAAAACGTGAGTTGTTTTTGTTTTCCACGTTTTCAGTACCACCTTTCGCCAACACAGATCCCAGGGCAGCATGCAACCCAGTAAGATTAAAAAAAGGACACACATAACAATCTGGCAAGAAAATTAGAAGAATCCAGCTGGATCAACAGAGCAGAAAGGGCAAGCTGATAAACAGCACAAGCGACAATGCTTGAGTACACGCACACAAGCACATCAGGTTACCTGAAGAATATCATAGGTTCCAGGTGAGCCTACAAATCCAGTTTGACTGTTTCTCATTCTTCCGGACTAAAGTTCAGTTCTCCACATTTTTGCATCTTCAACATTCATCAACATTTCAGTTAGAATTTCCCTAACAAACACAACACGGCAACATGAGAACGGGGCCTTCTCTGCAGTGGCTCCCCGTCTGTGGAATAATAATAATAATAATAATAAAATTTTATTTATATCCTGCCATCCCCAGCTGAAGCAGGGCTCAGAGCGGCTAACAACAGTAAAATAATACAGCATTCTACAATCAGTTCATTATAAAATCAGTTCAAATCAAATTGATGGCAACCATTGGGCTAGAGTTCTGTGAGGATTGCCAAAGGAGGGAGTCAAGCTGTGCCCTGGCCAAAGGCCTGGTGGAACAGCTCTGTCTTGCAGGCCCTGCGGAAAGATGTCAGGTCCCGCAGGGCCCTAGTCTCTTGTGGCAGAGCGTTCCACCAGATCGGGGCCATAGCCAAAAAAGCCCTGGCTTTGGTCGAGGCCAGCCTAACCTCCCTGTGGCCCAGGATCTCCAAGATGTTTTTATTTGAAGACCGTAAGGTCCTCTGTGGAATGCTCTCCCCAGGGAAGTTTGCCTGGCACCTTCATTATACACCTTTAGGCGCCAGGCAAAAACGTTTCTCTTTAACCAGGCCTTTGGTTGATCCAATTTACATCATATGCCCTTTTAAAATGTGTCGTCTTTTTGGGGGGGTATTGGGTTGCTGTTTTTATTTTTATTAGGTATTTTGTGGTTTTATATCTTTATTTTATTCTGTGAACTGCCCTGAGACCCCCAGGTATAGGGTGGTATATAAATTAATAATAATAATAATAATAATAATAATAATTGCATGCAGTTAAGCCTAATACAGTGGTACCTCAGGTTAGATACGCTTCAGGTTACATAAGCTTCAGGTTACAGACTCCGCTAACCCAGAAATAGTGCTTCACGTTAAGAACTTTGCTTCAGGATGAGAACAGAAATTGTGCTCCGGTGGTGCGGCAGCAGCAGGAGGCCCCATTAGCTAAAGTGGTGCTTCAGGTTAAGAACAGTTTCAGGTTAAGTACGGACCTCCGGAACGAATTAAGTACTTAACCTGAGGTACCACTGTACATACATCAAGGTTTCCCAACATTGGGTCTCCAGCTGTTTTTGGACTGCAACTCCCATCATCCCTAGCTAAGAGGACTAGTGGTCAGGGATGATGGAAGCCGTAGTCCAGAAACAGCTGGAGACCCAAGTTTGGGAAACCCTGATGTACATTTTTAATAAAGTGATTTCTCCTATTACATTGCACGTTTGTGTGACACTTTCACTAATATATGCATTTTTGTACATCGGCTGGAGAAGTACACTGCCAAACTCGGAGAAGTGTGATTTCAAAGGATAGCCATGATTTGGTTTGTGGACTGTTTTTGAAAGTGAATGTTGGGTAGGTTCACCTACCTGACAAAAAAAAAATGTTTTGCTATGTGTTGAAATGGATGTGTTGATTTTAAAAAATAATAATAAAAAAATATGATTAAAAAATGTCAGTGCTATATGCTAGCGTGTTGTTGTTTTCATTATTTGTGGCAGCTGTTGTACTTAAATCCTCGTCCGTTAGCAGTTTTGAGCACATTGCATTTGTGGCAAATGCGACCTATAAATAAACTGACCGTGACTAAGACACTCAACAGGCAGATACGAAAGGAACGAGGAAAGGATGCTTCACCTGCAATGCTGAAGTAGAAAAGTGCCATCAAGGTTTCCATTTCCAGATGATGCAGGTGAAGAGAGATCGGACACCCCCTCGCAGGAAGAGATCATGCCACTCTCCCAGGCGGGAGTTAAAATGTTGGCTGCCCTCAGAGACAGGATAGTGGATCAGATGAATGAACAGCTGGATGATCTGACAAGACAGTTTCTCTGCTCCTTGGGGACGGAACTCGGGAGCCCATTCTGAAATTCACTTAAAATATTTCTCCCCTGCCTGAATAAGCAGCATGGAAACACACGCAAGATCCTAAACCCTCCCATGCTGCTGGAGACATGCTGGAATATGGCAATATATGTGAGGGAGCAGGGTTTAGTCTGCATCTGATTTCTCATAAGCACTTACTTAATGGCGGAGTATATGGCCGTCTTCGCGGCATTTAACATGCAGTTACCTGATGAAATGCGTCATTATTCTTTGCAAAAGAACTTTGGAATATGCGCTGTATGTAAAAGGAGTCTTCCTGGTGGCTGCGTGCTCCCCTGTTGTGCTACAGCAGTACTGGAGAGATGTTCTAATGCCAATAATAATAATAATAATAATAATAATAATAATATCTTGCTTTGCAGCTGTAGCTGAACATCCATACCAAGCAGGACCCAGTGATGTGGTGAGCAGCAACACCTTGATGACCAGGAACTTGAAGTGTCCGAGGGGGGAGCAGGATGGCAAGGGCAGGCACATACAGGGCCGGCCCACCCATGAGGCAAAGTGAGGCAACCGCCTCAGATGGCAGGATCCACAGGGGCAGCAGAACTGGGGTAACGATGGCTGTGGTGTGCTCCTCAGAGGCTAGATCTGCCTCCTCCTCAGCAGCCCACTCTTGCATCCAAACACAATGGATAATAGTGGGAGCTTCTCCAACTCCCTTGCAATGCAAATAGCAATCTTAGAAGAACAAATTTAACCAGGACTGCAGCAGCAAAGTAAAAGGTTAAAGTCCCCCTTACCAGCTGTTGCAATCCAGAAAATTATTAGTCACCATCCCACCCCTAGTGCTATGAAGATTTTAAATAAATGTGAATTTATCATTGTGTCAGAATTAACACTCACCTTATCTGCCTACAGGGCCACTGTAAGAATGACCAAAATAGTGAACACTCCAAAGCATTAAAACAACACTAAATATGATTTAACAGGTCCAAATTAAAACCTAAAAGATTTAATTGACTATAAAGAATGTTACGTTTCTCTTCTTCTAAATCCATCCCAGCAAAATGGTGCCTGGAACATCATGCATAAGACTGGACTGCACATTGATCTTGCAACTCGTACCATTGAGTTTGATATGAAAACTAGTTCCCAGCCTTCTCAGTTAAGGAAGGTGCAGCTTACAAGCTGCATAATTATGCGCTATGGTGTTTTCCCCTTACAGATATCGAAATTGCCAGTGAAGCTGTGCATCTGAGAGGCCCTGGCCATCGTTCCTCCTGGCCCTCTTGGAAGCAGGTGCTGGGGTTGAGCTTGGGTCTGAAATGTAGAACGTGTCCAATATATGAGCATCAGCTTTCCTTCCATACCTCAAGTCTCCAAAGCACAGATCACATTCCAGAATATTTTGCATTTGCCTCCCCACTCTGAAAAGGGTCAAGCAGGTGTTCCTACCTCAAGCAGACAACTATGTCATAAATATATGTCCCATGTCTCCATATGATTTCTCAATCTTCAAGTTTAATATTCCACTGTGGTGTATTTTAGATGTTTTCCTGGATTCCTGAAAGCAGGTGTGGGGGTAAAACGGGTTCACACTTGAAGCACAGAATGGTGTTACGAATGTGCACAATGACTATCATTCCAGTGCCTGTGGCTGCAATCCTAGACCCAGAGTCGGCCACGACTGGACCTAATGGTCAGGGGTCCCCTTTACCTTTTAAGCCCCACTGAATGGTATAGGATTGTTCTGTCAGTCACCAAAGGAAACACCAGGCTGTGTTTTGTTAAATATACATCTTCCCTGGCTCCCTTGTAAATGTGGCGTTGATGGGTCGGGTGATAGAGTACTCCACCATTACGTTCAGCGACGGGGCCCTATACCGTGAAGATGACCTATTTTGTGCTGATGGTGTACATCTTTCCAATTGGGGAAACAATGTTTGGTTGGCTGATATTGCAGAAGGCATGAAAGATTGGTTGCAGCTGTGAGGATATTTGGTGGCGAGCATTGGGCTCGAGTGGCGGTTAGGCATTGGTTGATCTTATGTTGGGGGAGGGGAGGTGTGGCCATCACTTGCCCCTCCAATATTAAGGGTATGCCGTTAAAGGAATCCAGGGGTGTGGATCTTGTTCGAAGTCCGGGGAGGGGCTAGGACCATACCACGACCCAATCGGGAACCCAGGGGGAGCTCGAGTTGGTTTGCATCGATGGGGCTCCCCCTATTGGTGGTTGACCCTTACAGGACTCCCTGCGTGATAAACAGGAGTCAGATATAGTCGGGTCAATTCCAATGCCTAAGCCAATACCGCTCACATTCTGTAACCAATAAAGTTGTGACCTAATAACCTAATATCTGTGTCCTTGTGTCTTATTCACCAATGGGGGGGTGGCCTCAGGGTCTCGACACACAAATGCAGTGGTTTATAATTCTTTACTCATTTTCCTCACCAGATCCCACACCAGAGTCCTGTTATTAATTGTTTATTTTTTTAAAAAAAACACATACAAAACCACCTAACTTCAAAGAAGTATGAAAATGTTTAGACTGCAGTCCTAGAGTATCCTGCAAAGGTCTTTCTCTAATGCAAATAGATTACTGTAGATCCCAGTTTTGTGACACCCACTGTCTTTTCCCCCAATAATTTTTTATATTCTTACTTTTGATGCTCCGGCTCATATCGGATATTACCTTTGAAGACCTTACAAAAGAGACTCTCCTGAGCCTGTCTCTCAGTCACACAGGATAGATTCCTGTACATGCCTGCGCATTGGGGGGGAGTTAGTGTAAACAATGCTTGCCTATTAAACTTTAGCTTAGCATTAGGACTGCTGTCCAAAGATTACATTCAAAGATAACAGAAGTGTCACTATATTCTCCTGTGTAGTTCAGTCATGACCCTAATTAATATGTCTAAGTTAGACATGTATTTCTTCAAGTAATGGGTGGCTTTGTTTGGACAATTAGGCAGAGCTGACAAGGAAATTTTCCATCAAACCGGGTCATAAAAAGTACATTATTCAGCATTATTATGAGCAAAGCAGTATTTATTACCTGAACTTTACAATACACCATTATCAATCATTACCTGCCATTAAGGTATGTTAACACGAGATCAAAGGGACAGGGCCAAGTTAAACAAACAGAAATACACAGAAAAAGCTTTCTCAAATGGTTCCTTTCAAGAGAAGCAAACACAGCTGAAGGTATTGTTTGATCTCTGCTCCTGTTAACCAAAACAGGAACCAATGAAGAGAGTTGCTGTCTTTGTTTTTGTTTTTTGTTCATTAAAGAAACCAAAAAACCAAACCTCAAATGGCATTGCAACGTATAAAAACTGTATTTGTTTTCTTGAAATGCATTTAGGAAAAGAAACAGACCGGGCCTGCCCTATCATTAGGCAAAATGAAGCAACTGCTTCAGGCAGCAAATGCTAGAGAGGAATCATTCTGAGCCCTGACCCTACCTGTTACTGCTATTGAAGACCAGATTCAAAACTGGTCATCTTCTGTATATGGAATGTGGGGGACACCATCCTATCCTTCACTTCAGGCGACAAAATGTCTTGGGCCAGCGCTGAAACAGGGGGGAAACCTACCAAAGTCAGGCTCAAATATTTTGCGTTTGATTGACAAGCACATTGAAAATGTTTGATTCCAATAAAATCCACAGCAGGGATGAGAACAGGGAATACCTTGCACCTTTCAGATCAATAACTGGTTAAAAAACAGGAAGCAGTGTGTAGGAGGTTGATGGGGTTCCACCCCCTCTGAAGGCGCAGGTACGTAGCTTGGGGGTACTCCTGGATCCTTTGCTGTTGTTTCAGGCTCTGATGGCCTCAGCGTTGTGGAGTGCCTTCCATCATCTTCAGCAGGTGGCCCAGCTGTGCCCCTATCTGGACAGGGATAGCCTAACTTCTCTTGTCTGTGTTCTGATAACCTCTGGGTTGGATTACTGCAATGTGTTGTGTGGGGGGCTGCCTCTGAAGATGGTCTGGAAATTTCAGACTGGGTAACTGGGCATTAAAATGGCAAATGTAAGCAAGTGTAAAGTGATGCCCAGTCACACACACACATGCACACACAAACACACACACACACACACACTCCTAACCTCACATATGGATTTATAGGGTCTGATTTGGCGGTGACTGACAGGAAAGAGATCTTGGAGTTGTGGTGGAGAGCTTGATGAAAATGTCGACCCAGTGTGCACCAGCTGTGAACAAGGTAAATTCTGTGCTAGGGATCATTAGGGAAAGAATTGGGAATAAACCTGCCAATTTCATAATGCTGTTATACAAATCTATGGCGAGGCTGCTCTTAGAATACCGTGTTTTGTTCTGGTTGCTGCACCTCAAAGGGGGATATTGCAGAGTTGGAAAGGGCAACCAAAGTGATCAAGGGGCTGGAACAACTTCCCCATGAGGAAAAGCTACGGTATCTAGGGTGAGTTGTGGGAGCTTGATAAAATTATGAATGGTGCAGAGCAAATGGATAGAGAGAAGTGTTCCTCCCTCTCTTATAATGCTAGAAACCTGGGGCCATCTAATGATGCTAAATATGGGATTAGTCAGGACAGACAAAAGGAAGTACATCACACAGCACGTAAATTAAACGATGGAACTCATGACCACAAGATCTAGTAAGGACCACCAACTTGGATGGCTTTAGAAGGAGGTTAGACAAATTCATGGGGGTTTAGGCTATCAGTTAGACCATAAAGAAGGCTGATCGCTGAAGAATTGATGCTTTTGGATTATGGTGCTGGAGGAGACTCTTGAGAGTCCCATGGACTGCAAGAAGATCAAACCTCTCCATTCTGAAGGAAATCAGCCCTGAGTGCTCACTGGAAGGACAGATCCTGAAGCTGAGGCTCCAATACTTTGGCCACCTCATGAGAAGAGAAGACTCCCTGGAAAAGACCCTGATGGAGGAAAGATGGAGGGCACAAGGAGAAGGGAACGACAGAGGACGAGATGGTTGGATAGTGTTCTCGAAGCTACCAGCATGAGTTTGACGAAACTGCGGGAGGCAGTGGAAGACAGGAGGGCCTGGCGTGCTCTGGTCCATGGGGTCACAAAGAGTCGGACATGACTAAACAACTAAACAACAACAAGGCTATCAGTGGCTGCTAGCCATGGTGATTGTGCACCACCACCAATGCCAGAAGCCATGTGCTTCTGAATACCAGCTACTGGAGAACACAAGTGGGGGTGTTGCATTCATGTCTACTTGGTGGGCTTCCCATATGCATCTGGCCTGCCACTGTGAGAAGAGGATGCTTGACTAGATGGGCTTTTGGTCTGATCTTCCCATGGCCTTATATTCACCAGGTGTAGGACCAGCACCAGGTCTGAGACCACACGAAAATCTCTGATAGGTCAGGCCAGTGTCTCATCTAGTCCAGCACCCTCTTCTCGCAGTGGCCAACCAGGTGGTCATGGGAAGCCAACAAACAGAACCTGGGTGCAACTTGTCTCTTCTCACCTGCGATTCTCAACAACTAGTATAAAGGTAAAGGGACCCCTGACCATTAGGTCCAGTCATGACTGGCTCTGGGGTTGTGGAGCTCATCTCGCTTTATTGGCCGAGGGAGCCGGCGTACAGCTTCCGGGTCATGTGGTCAGCATGACTAAGCCACTTCTGGCAAACCAGAGCAGCGCACGGAAACGCCGTTTACCTTCCTGCTGGAGTGGTACCGATTTATCTACTTGCACTTTGACGTGCTTTTGAACTGCTAGGTTGGCAGGAGCAAGGACCGAGCAACAGGAGCTCACCCCGTCGCGGGGATTCGAACCGGCAACCTTCTGATTGGCAAGTCCTTGGTTCTGTGGTTTAACCCACAGCGTCACCCACAGAGGCACATTTAACACGAACTCAGTGCACATGGCTTCCCCAAAGAATGCTGCAGTTTGTAAAAAGTTATGGGAATCATTGCTCTGCAAGGGGTAAACTGTAGTTCCCAGGGTTCTTTGGGGAAAGGCATCTGCTTTCAAAGTGTGTTAAATGTATTTTAAATGTATGATGTGGATGTGACCTCAGAGTCCACTGAAAACATTCTAGCACCTGGCCAGAAGGTAAGAAGCTAACGAGAACCCATCCCCTATCTCCTTTTACAAATCTATAACCTATCAAGCCCAGAAATGACCCAGCGAGTCTGCCAGTTCCTCCTCAAACACTGTAAGTTACTTAGTTATTCTGGTTCAACCTGTTACTCTGATCTGGGATGGGGCACGTATAAATGTTTCTAGGCTATGTTTACTGTCTCCAGTCCAGTTTTCCATTAGAGTTGATGCATTTGATATGCCCTTCTAAGGGGAAACTGGGAGAGGGGAGGTTTTACCTAGTTGTTTCTATTTGCAATGGGACCAACATAACAACAGATGCACTTGTGTAAAAAAAAGAGTCTGCCAGAAGGAGTGCAACTAGGGCAGTTTTCTTTTTTAAAACAAGAAAAACACCCACAAGGCTACAATTACAAAATGCAAATTCCACTTGTATTAAAAGGTTATTCTCCCCAAATTCTCAAATGATCTTTAACAATCACAATATCTGTATTCTGTGAGTGATGAAATAAGCCAACTTTTGCATTCACTCTGTTTTCTAGATTACAGTGTGCATTGTTTAGAAGTATATTTTGCAACACTCATTCATTCTCACTACACAGAAGGCTCTGGAATAAAGTTGGGTTCACCATGTAGCAACAGGAACACTCAGGACAGTGGTACCTTGGGACTCAAACAGCTTGGCTCCCAAACAAACCCAGAAGTAAGTGTTCCAGTTTGCGAATGTTTTTCGGAAGTTGAACGCCCAACTGGCTTCCGCGGCTTCCGATTGAGTGCAGGAAGCTCCTGCAGCCAATCGGAAGCTGTGCCTTGGTTTTCTAATGGTTTCAGGAGTCGAACGGACTCCCAGAATGGATTAAGTTTGATCCCCAAGGTACCACTCTATAGCACATGGATCACCAAGTGCCCATTTTGGAGTAGGTTTTGCTATTTGATGCTACAACACAGGCAAAGACTCAAGGCTCTGACGTAAATCTGCAGTACTAAAATACTGCAAATTGTTTTGATTTGTCTGAAGAATCAAGATAACTATCTTTTAAGGTTTCTTTTTTCCCAGACACTGAATATAAATGACAGGTTTTTGTCATGTTCGGCTGCTCTGGTCACTGGTCACATTTTATTCCTTCCCAGCATTTGAAATAGCCTGGGGAATATGTTTCACTACAGGACAAAGCATTTTCCTAGGTCTTTGGTCTCCTTATAGCTTATGATACCTTTCCATGGTCTGCCAATTTGGTGAGTTCCCTGCTAAGAAGAAATCTCTCCCCTCTAAACTAGATAGCATTCTAGAAACTAATTCAAGAAGAGAGAGTTAGTTGAGCAGTTTGGTGTGTTAGTCAGAGATGATGAGATTGTCTTGGAAATATACCATCTGTTCCTGAAGCATTACTAATACATATTGATTGTTAAAGGCATCTGGTCAACAGGAACATGAAAGAATTTTAATACACTGTATGTGCTTTGTAATTGTGTCCTTGGGAGTTATGCGATGAGTACAGAAAAGACCTCGACCATGAACAGAAAATGTGTGATAATATAGCAAAGCATAAGCAACAACAAGTCTATCTAAGCAAGAGATGAATATAATGATAAAAATGTCAACTTCATTTCCAGTAACTCTTTTCAGGGACAGTGTGCAAGACTGTATTCTCTTTTCCATGGTGAGTTTAATTGTGGGCCTGTGGCGAGAGTCTGTTATGTATTTTAGGTATGCCAAATAAATGGTGATAGCGGATCTCAACATTCATTGGAGCCACCACCAATGTTCTCCTGGATCACAACGCAAATATAAATAAATAGTAGGTCCGCATTGAAATGCAAACTGAACCAAATTTCTCCCCATCCCTACTGGCATATATGAACCTAAGCAGCACGACCAAGAAGTCAGTGCCAAATAAATTGATGGAACTTCTAAGTCCATCACAACAGATCTAGAGGGTTCCAGAAGGCTGCTCCTGCCTGTAGAAGTAAGGACCTAAAGACATTGAGTGGACTTCAACACCACACTAATATGATCATACATTCAGCAATGTTGTTGTTGGCATCCATCTGTCTTGAGAGACAACAGAGTGCACTTCCATAACGGTGTAGTGAGCTCTCTGGGGTGCAAGTCTGGGCACCAGATATGGAAGTCCCGGGCTGCACAGATGACAGCCTCCTTCTCAGCCTCATTGGAGTGGTCCAAAGGAAAGCAGAGCATTGTGTCTGGCACCAGCTTGGCTTCAGGAGTTGCCAGAAGAAGGCATATAAGATATCATCGAACCATTTTAGGAACTCCACTTCAGATTTGTATAGGGTTTAGCCTTTTCTTCTCCCGAAGGTGTCCTACAAGACAGCAGGTACAGATTTTTCCTCAGGGTTTTCTCCCAAAGCCTTTCTCTTACGAATGAGTATGACTGCAAGGCATCAGAGATTTAATTTCAGAGTTTTCCTGCTCCTAGATGGGCTACATTTCCAGGTGGATGAGTCCTATCTGCCTCTCACTTCCTTATACAGCACATGCAGAAATCACCTTCTTGACCGCTGGACCCACTATTGGTCTCATCCGCTCAATTTGCCAGTGCCTGTCTTCGCATGTAGGGGAAGTACCTAACTAACTGAGGATTAGAGACCCATTGGCTACTCTCACCTGGTTTAGCCAGCCAGTTGAAGCTGTTTCCCAGGGTGCGGCCACTGTCGCATGCTGACAGCTTCTAGAAGCTGTTAACATTTTTCTTCATATTGATATTAGCAACTTCCAGTCTCTCTCTACTTGTAGGAACTTTGTGATTATTGTTTACATCTGAACTATGCCTTCAGGTTGGGTCAAGGGGCAGGGGGAAAGGGAGTATGATTGGTTAGTAATCTGTTTCTTTTCAGTTAATAAAAATAATGATAATGTAAGAGATTGTATACTCTCTAACACTGCCTTATCCATAGCCAATCCAGCCTCTTGCATATGAGAGAGAATCTTACATATTTCTCTTATAAATAACCAGTACAGTGGAACCTTGGTTCTCGAACTTAATCCGTTGTGGTAGTCCATTCATCTCCCAAAACTGTTCAAAAATCAAGGCACGGCTTCCGATTGGCTACAGGAGCTTCCTGCACTCAACTGGAAGCTGTGGAAGCCACTTCAGTCATTCGGTTTCCGATAAATGTTCGCAAACTGGAGCACTTACTTCCTGGTTTGCGGCGTTGGGGAGCCAAGCCGTTCAGGAACCAAGGTGACACAGTACTTTTTTCCTGGCTCTTGTGTCCAGTGGCACACCTACAGCCGACTTCTTTCGTAATCGTGGTGGGGAAAGTTTTGTGTGTTGCACCTTCCAGGACCTGCAAGACGGAACATTGTGTGTCCTTAATAAACCCCATGGGACTATGTTGCATTCCATTTACACACAGCTTATATAATTGAAGCTATTTATCATAAACTCATTGGTGAGGAAATACGATTGTTCTGTCAGCACAAGTATTTCTGCTTGTCAGATGGATGGAATAGTCTCTCCTTTCCTTCTCATGGGTGTTGTTCTGGGAGATCTTCTGACCCTCCAGAGTGTATTTGGGGGAGACATGGCAGGTGCACAGGGGAAAGATGGGGGGGGAGTCCTTTTGCGGTAGCAGGAGTCCTGGCACTGGCTTCCGCTAGCACGCCAGTTTACTTTGATGTGGCCTACTGGGTTGGATTCAGTCTTGAACTTGGGTCTATTGAAATCAATGGGACAGGCTGATCTTGAGAGAAATCCCATTGATTTCAATAGGAACTAAGTTGGTCTCCTATGGATTCAATCCATCCAGTGCCAGGCTCAGCCGGCAGCTGCCTCACAGGGATCCGCAGTGGAAAACAAACACAGGGCTGCATGCAGAACCCCGTTGTTGGGTTCAGAAGGGTGTTCTCCAAATGACGGCAAGTATGTTGAAAGAAAGACAAATCCCAATGAACTGAATGGCTCTAAATGCAAGTTACTGGCCTTAAGCGGCTTGTAAATTGCAGCCCTTCTAAGTTAAATAATTGTTGCCATTTCCCCCTATTTCCTTTTCTAAGTAGCTATTCCTTGACTGTCCTCAACCTGATCCACTGCATTTGTTATATCTACATGATATTACCTTTACAGCTCATTTTTAATTGTGCGTCACTGCTAACCTCCTTGTAAAGAGACAGGGCTCAGCCATTTCTACTAATTATCCAAATTACCAGTCGCTGTTTGCATGTGTGTGGCCTCACCGAAAGCTTTTAACCACAAGCAATGTCACTAAATCAAAGCAAGTTGGAGTCATTTCCTTGGAGTGACTTACTATTAAATGCTGTTTGACATTCCTTTCAGGCCATTGGAGGCGTTGTTTTTAAAGATTACAATTACTTAAACGAGACAGCTAATTTTG